ATATAAAAATCACTTTTTAAAACAAAATCGATATGCATTTACCAAAAATTCATTTTTTTAGTGGGGAAGGGTAAGTACTCCCACATCACCCAAAATTAATACCTAATCGCTTATACATCATCCTGGTAGTGGAACTAAAAATGCTAAAGTAAAAAATTATTCCTTAATTTATTTTATTCTTCGTTGATTAATTCGTTTCGAACCTCCAAGAATATTCTCGATTTTTTTTAGAATAGACCACGAGATTTGCACGTCCTCCATCGAGAAGGCTATCCCCTCTATCTCTTCCCATTATGGGAATATTCCTTCCTCGTTTATTAGGACTTCATATTAAATATGAAATAAAATAGAAATTAAGGAATTAAAGCAACATAATTGTCGCAACCGTCTTTCGGTTGGGCCCCGGAATTGGGCTTCGACTTGAAAAATGTGGATTGGAGTCGCCACCGATCATTTATTTAAAACAAATGGGTTGATCGGATACCCTATTTCTTACATGATCTGCGTTTTTCCAAAGATGTGTCGGGTTCGGGAGTCGGTTACGGTCAAGGAAGGATTAACACCCTTGAACCGCCCTTTCGGTACTACGTAATTTCCAGTTGTCTTTGATTAAGAAAATTACAAGTTAAATTAAAAGGTAAAATTTGATCCGAATTACTTACCCTTAATAAGTTTACAGAAATACCCTTAAAAAATAAGATGTTAAAAGAAAATAATAATAATAAAAGAAAGTAACAAAACTAAAGAGTAAACCAAAGAAATAAATGAAATCAATAATAATAAACATAAAATAATTGGATGAAACAAAAAAAATGAAATTGAATAAAATAAAATAAATGAAGATAAAATATATATACCAAAAGAATAAAAAAAGTAAAATGTTTTTTTTAAAAAAGAAAAATAATAATAAGAGCAAAGAAACTAAAAATATAATAAAAATAAATAAATAGTATACATAAAATAATAAAAATATATATTTATAAAAATATAAAAATATATGTATAATATAATAAAATACTAAATAGTAATAATAATAATAAATAAATGAAAAATAAATATACATATAATATTAACTAAAAAAATAGTAATCATAGAAATATAAAATAAAATGAAGTAAGAATATATATATATATATATATATATAACATTGGGAAAATATAGTAAAAAAATAGTAAATAAGTAAACATATATAAAAAAAAATAATATAATATATATAATAGGAAAATAATATAATATAACGCAAAAAATGAAAAAAAAGAGAACTATAATAAATAAATAAAATATAATTATATATATATATATATATAAATAATAAGGGTTAAATTAAAACAAAAAATGAATTAGGGGTCAAAATTAAAAGCCAATTGAAGAAAAAACGAATCTGCGTGTATTTAAAATCAGGGGGACCGAAATGGGCATTAACCCACTGTAGAGGCAAAACACACGGATCCACATAACCCGTTTATAAAAATTCGAATAGTTTTTCAAAAAAACACAAGCCTCGGGGGCTAGATCTACAAAAATAGATATCGAAAATGCCCTCGTTCATTGGCCAAAAACACTTCTCTCGATTTTCTTTCGAATCAAAACACAACAAGGGTAAGGAAAAATAACATGCGAAACTATGAACTTTACCTTTCAAAATATAAATGCTTCGAAAAATGGCTACGAGTTGCTTGTAATTTTTTGCTTGATATTTCATATATCTCTTCCGAATGTGTTACAATAGTGAGTTACAATGACTATTTATAATGATTGTGGATCCTATCTTTATGAGTTTAAATAATAGTAGAACTCTATCCTATTTTTAGGAGTTTGAATCCTAGCAAAATTCTATCATATTTTTAGGAGTTTGAATCCTAGTAAGACGAAAAGATGTGTTGACAATAACAAAGATAAACAAGTATGAGGTTACGTTTAAAATAAAATTATTATTTTATTTAATTATTCATTATTATATTTTTTTAGTTCAGACGCACTTGATTATTTTTAAGTTCACTCTCGTTCGAATGTCATATTGAATCATTTATAAACGAGTTTGTTTGTGAACATAAACAAACCGAACACACATCTGTTCGTGTTCGTTCGTTTATTAAATGAACATAACTTTTTTGTTCATATTCATTTATTTAATTTAACAAACGAACATAAACGAACATTACACGAATGATTAACGAACAATTCATCGAATACTCTATTCATTTATACCTCTACATATACTATAATATTTACAGTAGATCTCAAATTAATTTTAGAGATAACTTAATAAACCGATTCTTTTATCCTAGGGGGCCAATTTTAAATTCCCCAGCAATTGTTGGTATATTAAATTCCCCATGTCATTTAAAAGTAATATTTTATTGGTAAGGGTAGGAATGGAATCCCAATTCCCAGCAATTGTCTCTATATTAAAAATTAACAATGGAGTTGGCACGCATTGAGATTTGAGATATCATCGTGTGGTCTTTGTTTAAGTCATCCGTTGACTTGAAAAAGGGTACAAATATGGGAGACAGACTGAATCAATAATTGAAAGCTTTCAGTTCCACAAATGGGGGGATCTTGGCAAACAACACAACTAAATTTGTGAACAACTCCATGTAAGTCTTCACAATCCTCTTTCGTTTTACTTTCTATTGTTCCATATTTACTTGTGTTCATACTCCCTACTTCACTGGAAGAATTCTTCTTACTTATTTTTCCCTTTCTCTCCTACTAATGGTATACTGTAAAACGGATAAAAATGAACCCTACATATAAATCTTTTGCTTTAAGGGCAAAAAATGTATGGTACTAATGACTTACAAAAATATAACATTACTGTTTTGTTGAATATATCGTATGTGTGGAAGCATGAATCTCAGAAGAATGGGTTTTGTCACTTGAATTGTATGCGTAGGTGATGAACCAAACAATATCTGAAATCCAAGGGTAGATGCTGTTAAGCTCAGACAACCTCACATAACATTGTAAACTCTACACATTTACTACTTAAACTATCAATTTAGGTCTGTTTAAGTATCTAAATTTTTAATTTTTTTTTAAAATCATACCCAACATTTAATCTTTATTTCATTTTAGTATCCGTCGTTAAAAATTTAACGCGTTTAATACTTAAACTATTAGTTTTGGTCCATTTTAGTACCTAAACTTTTGATTTTTTTTTAAAACTTAACGTTAAATTTTGAACAAATGTACTAAAATAAAACAAAAACTAAATTTTATATATGATTTAAAAAAAATAAAAATTTAGATACTAAAATGGGTAGTTACGTACTAAAAGCATAATTTGTCCTTTTTTTTATAAGTCTATGCATATTTCAAATCATCAATTTCTAAAAAAAATCATAATAGATATTAATTTTAATTATCTTAAACTATTTTAAAAGAATATAAAATTCTATTTTTTTTCACTATGCCTAGGTTCAACCTGACCCAAAAGCAAGTCCAGTCCAGATTAAATGACCTTATCTGGGCTTAGTCTGAATAAATAGATATCAAGAACTCACTCCTTGTGGGCCTAACCCATACTCCATTCCATAAATATAAATGGATGAATTTCAAATCCTACCTAAACAGGGATCAATGTGTATGAATTTGTTAACGATAAAAAGAGCGTCCAAGTCGAATTTTATTACTTTTATAAATTATATTAAATATATTTATAAGTATTTAATAAATTATTATATTCAAAGCAATAAAAATGTATAAATTTTATCAAACCATATATTTCATCCTTTTATTTCAAATTCATATCCACTTACAAAAATATATCCAATACATATTTATAAACATATTTCTTTATAGTTTTATAGGCGTGCACAGGTATATACGGAGGACTCTAGTCTAAAATTTTAGGAGAACGAAAACATATTTTTAATAGACTATGTGTGCACCAACAACTAGAACCGTAAATGAATAAAATTAGAACGAATTGTTCGTGGTTATTCTTTTATTTTTTTAAATATGTTTGTTTTTAGTTTGACTCCGTTAAAAATTTTAAATTATGTTTTGTTCATTTAATGTTTAATGTTTGTAGACACAAAATAAATATATTCATTAACATATAATTGAAAAGTTCATGAATAATTAAAAACTATTCATGATTAATAAACAAATAAATTTTAAATGAATAAATTTCTTATTTATTTCAAATATAATGTAATAAAAATTAATATTATAAATAAAAATAATCAGAAAGAATATTTTCATGTATTTTTTATCCAATAAAATTCAACTTTAATAAATCAACCAGAGTTTATAATAAGAATTAATAAGTGAATTTATTTATAAACACAAATCAACGAAATACATCATTGTTCAAATTCAATCTTCTAATTAAATAAACAGTGTTTTTATTTATACTCATCTCTTTAATTTAATAAAAGGAATAATATATAAACAAGTCACAAATAATTATTCCAACCATCCACTTATTTACAACCCTTCCTATTCTATATGTTGAAATAAATATAAACCAATTTCGAAATCAGCCGAGAGGTAAACCCAAAATCAAAATCGATTGAATCATCAAAATCAGAACCCTACATGCAGATAAATCTATGAAGTGGTTAAAGCTAAAGAGTTTAGGGGACAACTGACAAGGACTTGAGTTCTCTCACCCTTGTTTAGTACATAACCTTTAGCCTGGGTGATTATAGATGAGTATATATTTAGAATTTTTTTAGTCGATTGATATTTGATCACACACACGCTTTGCACATGTAATTATTAGAACACGAGATCTCAAGAAAGAACAATCCGTTCTAACCCCGAACATTTTTTGCTATTGGAATTGGTCTCCAAACATTCTCTTTCTTTATTTTCCCCTAATCTAAGAAAAATAAAAGGCGAGAAACTGCATTTCTCACGTAAAATTATTTAAAAGAATAAGATTAGTCATATATACCTAGGGTGCATATAGTAATGGTTGAAGAACTCGTCTTCACTAGATTCACATCAACAAATATACATAGCATTCAACAAGAAGCAAAGATGAATCACCAGAATCAGAAATCAAATAAGTATTTCCCAAATTGAAGTACTTGAATCAAATGTAGCAAATAGATTGTCTTTCAATAACTAAACACACCATTTCAATTATTGATTCTTGACAAATAAGTAGAAAAATAGCTAGATACGTAGAGAATTCAAGTGAGAAGCCCTAAGATATCGGAACTTGTTGGTCTTGTCTTCTCTTTTTCCGCCTGAGGAAGGAGCAAATTAAATTCCATCAGACAAATTGCCAGTAACAAATGATCGTAAAACTGATGAAGTTTAGGGCAAAACCAACCAGATATCAAGCAGTTAAAAGCCGTTGCCACCGTCATCCCATGCATTAAGCTGATCAACAATGTGTGCGTCGATCTCAGCTATCAGTTCTCTCAGCCTCTGATTGCTTGCCCTAATCTCAGAAAACATCATAGGGAACTTCTCCAATAGCTTTTCAATCTTGGTGGCTGATGTCTCCTTCCTTTTCTTTTTCTTATCCTTTTTCTCCTTAATATCAAATCCTTGCTTTGGTTTGCCAACCTAAACGGAAAATTTAAAGAACAACGATACAGAAGAAGAAGAAGAAAAGAACCCAGAAAAGTGTATGTATATATTAAGAGATGAAAAAAGATTCAGCTTATAGGAAGTACCTCAAACTTGGGTTTCCTTGACCTAAGTTGTTTCTTTTGGGAAGCGCTGGATACAGCTTCGTTAGTTGCACCCATGGAATTGTTAATTTTCTTCATCATCTCTCTGCAAGTTATTGTCAGTGTTATTTTCTTTGAAGATTTCATATAGTATATGCTATAAAATGCTTGTTGATTCGGAGTATAAAAGAAAGAAACTGGTATTTGATTGGTATGCATCAATACTACTATAAACTCGTTATGAAATTCAGTGATTTATAAAGCTAACCTTGAAATTCCTTGTTTTCCAGTGATTAGTTACACCGATCTGCGCCCAGGAGTGTGAAGTGGAGAATGAGGATGATCGAGTGTTGATAACCCTTCTCCCCCTTGCTCTCTACTCAACTTTTTTATAAAATGAAAAACATTCTAACAGTATCAATGCTAATAAAAATAATCATTATAGTACTTTAATTTTTAAATTCTTATATGATAAATAATGATATTATTAAAAAATAATTCGAATAATATTATTTTAATTTTAAAATTTACATATCACTTTAAATTTCAGGTTTTATTACAAAATACGGATAATATCTGTGACATATTTTGATATTTTTTTAGGAGTCTAATTATGATTTTTTAAATAAGTTAGAAAATTATTTTTTTCTTCTAAAAGATGTGAAATGAATTAAAATATTAAAAAAAATAACTTTCTATTAAAAGTTTCATAAAATATAAAAGAAACTAAATTAAAACTTTTAAAAAGATAAAAGAAAAATATTTCCGAAACTGAAACTTGGAGGGCAAGTTAATACTTAATAGTTAAGGAATAAGAATCGGTCGACTACGGGCGTCAAACAGAGCAGTTCGGGGGGTATCGCTCACTCACTTTATAGTTCTCTAGAACGCCCAATATAAATAATATTATCTTTCTGCCTGTGTTCAATAGAAGACTGGGGGATAAGTATGAAGTCCTTGTCAAACTAAAATTCATCAATCTACTTTTTATTACAATACATATTGGCTAAATTTTTTCATTATTTTTAATAATATTTAAATTATTTATTTACTATTATTTTTTATAAAAAAATTAAATTATTCATATACTATTGTTTTTTTAGTACAAAGGGAAGTTCAACCGTTAGGTAGGGGTGTATTCGGTTTGGTTTGGTTTCATTAAAATATGAATTAAATTGCACTTTGCGGGTTTTTGAAAATGCATACTAAACTCGAAATTGAATGGCATAAAAACCACGGTTTTTTATTTGGGTCGGTTCGACGAATTTTGACTGTTCATTTATTTTCAAACTCAACCTCCAAAAAGCAAATTTAAAGCTTAAATCGAGTGCAAATATATAAATTCAAATTTAAGTAAATAAAATATTAAAACTATTATTTTTAATATTTTATTCATTTAAATTTATCTTATAATAAATTCAAAATGAATGTATTTTTTATACTTATTTTTTTTATTCGGTTCAAATGTTTTTCATTTGAAAAATCTGAAACCAACCCGAATTGTATATTTGTTTTTTTTAAATTGAACTGAAACTAAATCGTAAAGTGAAAAACTCGAACCGAACTGCACAGTGCTCATAATGAGAGCAAGTTTACACGAGACATGTGATACATGCACCAAAACCCATAATGACAAAGCCTTCATATTTGGACTAATGATTCTACTCAAACCTATTAGAAGAACAAAGTCTCGAAGATTCAAAACACATCTATTGGATTTGAGGTCAAATCCTTTTGAAGAGAGAGAGGATGATATATGCATCACAAGGCTCATATTAAAGGAATATAGACTAGCACTTCCAATTGATCTACACGAACAAGCCTTGGAAAAGAACATACAATAATAGAATGGCAGACTTGTGACTACTTTTCGAATGGGATCCTGATCTTACTCGGTCAACATTTATTCTAGAGATATGATCGGTTGTTTCTTATATTTTCAACGGTTTTTGAATTACATCAATCTGATATCAGAAACTAAAGATACGTCCATTTTATTAAAGAAAGTGCATGCAAAAATTCCTATAAAGATTAATACGGGATTTCATAATATTACAAATTTTCAATATTTTTATTGATTATTTGTAATATAATTTAATATAGGATGATGCATTATCTTTGATGGTTATATTTATTATTTTATTAAGAATTAAGGTAGAATTAAAACAATTATCTTTAGTTTATTGTTATTAGGAATTAAGATAGTATTATTATTTCCAAACATTAGGCATATTACAACAATGGATCCTTCACCCTATATAAAGGAGGCTCCTCCCACCATTGAAAACACATATTTTCTTGAATACAATACATTGAGAGTTTTTCTCTACAAGTGTTGATTACTTGTACCTTCAAAGCTTCTTTTCTTTAAGCTCTTTTCAAGTTCTTTGTGAGAGAGATCTTCACACTCCAGTTTGTCTCTTCATTGAGATTAGAAGGGCTAGTTAGAGCCATCTATCGAGATTGCCTTTTCATTGCGACTAGAAGGGTTCGATAGGACAATTATTCATCTATCTCCATCTCCATAATTCCATTATTTTCTCATTCCATTCAAATCTTTCCGCTTCCATACGAGCAACATTCATTCATCCGCTGCCGCCTATCTATAAATTGGTATCAGATTTGGGACTATTATTGGAAGAATCAAAGAGATTTGACTTGTTCGTCCAACATCAATCACCGAAGTACCCCAACAGAGCTAGTTTATGAAGTTTCATTGTGTTCAGGTTCTTTTTAATTTTTTTCAGTTTAGTTCCAATTCTTTTTTGTAAGTTTTTTTTTTAATTTATCAAAAGGTAAAAAAGGCCAAAAAATTAAAACAAAAAAAAAACAAATGAAAGAAGGAATTTAGAGTTTATTTGTTACTTCAACATTAAAAAAATTCAGCCAAATCAGAGTTCATTCAGTCATTCAAATCGGCCATTAAAGTTTATTCGACAGATTCAAACTATTCGCACTGTCAGATTTTTCCAAAATTTTCTAGAAGGAATTTCGTGCTGAAAATTTCCAGATCACAACTAGATTCACTTAGGAGAATCCAAAAAATAATAATTTTTGGAGATAAAAAACGTCCTCAAAAATGTTTCTCAAGTTGATCTAGCGTTTTAGGTTCTGCTTTGGGTTTGGGATTTTCCATAAATTTTTCTTTGACTCCTATTGCTTCTAGGTTCTTTTGTTTTACCTTTTCTTGTACCTTTACACCATCTAACACATTCTTTTCCTTGTGTTAGTAGGATTCAAAGAGTTTGCATACTTCTTCTTCTGTGCATTCTTGTTCACTTGGAGTCTATCTTTCCTTGGCCACTTAGAACTCCTAAGTTTTCTTATATTCTTTTCTTAGTGATAAAACTCTGATACGAACATCGAAAGACTCTTAGAGAGAAAAAGTTTTACAGAGTACATGATCGATTTTCTTGTCTCTCGTTGTGTTGCTTCCTTGGAATGACTTGTGAGATTTCTTATTTTCTTAAATTTTCTTTACATGTTTTGAGTGTTGTGATTTTCAGGATGTTCAAGCCAAATATATCGAAATCAAGCATTCCACAATTATATGGCATGGAAAACCCACACGACAACTACGAGTGGGAAACCGAGCTGGAATTCATATTTCACTACACAATTGCTCTGAACGAGACAAACTACCTGTAGTTATACATAGACTTTGACACAAGGTAAGAGTTTGGAGTTACTCAGTTCTATATGGAATCGATTTTGTCGAAACCTGGGATGAGCTCAAATTTGATATGCAATAACAGTTTGTTTCGAACTCCTACACTAAGGAAATCGTACAAAAATTTCAAAGACTACGACAAGGTAAAGGATCTGTAGAGGATTATTATAAAGAGATAGATCCTTTAATTCTACGATCGAGAATTCTAAATGAAGATTACCATTGTTACCAATTAGTGGAAGGTCTCGATCGAGACATTCGTGATGAATTTGTTGAACAATACTTCAAAGCTCTTCAAGGTACACTACAGAAGACCCTCACAATTGAAAAACAACAGAAAAATCATCTCAAAAACATTTTTCAAGGTACTTCACCTACTTCCACTTCATCTTCTACTCCACTTCCTATCGCGGATAATGAATCCAACGATGATAATGGTGAATACAATGATAGTAGCCTTGTAATATAATATATCAATCTTCAGTTACTTTGTTCTACACCACTGGAACCAAAAAATGAACTTGAAAGTCATAAGATGAAATTTTTTGAGGAGGTTGGGAAAACTGAAAAAAAAAACAATGAAGAAGAGGCTGAAACAAAAGAGGTAACAACCCATAAAAGCCAAGAACATGACCTATGAGAGGTGAGTGATCCTAGTTATGAGAAGAAAAGAATGACTCAAAATCTATGTATGAGCACAAAAGAATTGAGAGAGAACCTTGTTCAACAACCTTGTATCATTGTTCGCTTTAGGGAATCAATTCTTTTGATTTCTAACATTAACAAGGATTTGTTTAGTGTGTTTTCATCTCGTTTACAAGATTTTCAAGGAGTGTTAGGTGACCCTCCTAACGAATTATCACTTGAAAGCCCTAATCATGGTGTTATATCAGTGAAGAGTCATGATGTACAAGAGTCCAAAGATTCGTGAACGAATCCTTTTGAGGAGAGAGGGAATGATACATGCACCAAAACCCATAATGACAAAGCCTTCATCTTTAGACTAACGATTCTACTTGAACCTATTAGAAGAACAAAGTCCCAAAGATTCAAAGTAAATCTACTGGATTCGAGGTCGAATCCTTTTGAAGAGATGGAGGATGATACATGCATCACAAGGCTCACATTAAAGGAAGATAGACTAGCACTTCCAATTGATCTACACGAACTAACCTTGGAAAAGAACAGTAGTAGAACAACAGACTTGTGACTACTTTTCAAATGGGATCCTCATCTTATTCAGTCAACATTTATTCTAGAGATATGACTGATTGTTTCTTGCTTTCCAGTAGTTTTTGAATCACATCAATCCGATATCGGGAATTCAAGATACGCCCATTTTATTGAAGACAACACATGCATAAATTCCTATACAGGATTTCATAAATATTACAAATTTTTAATATTTTTATTGATTATTTGTAATATAATTTAATATATGATTATGCATTATCTTTTAGGGTTATATTTATTATTTTATTAAGAATTAAGGTAGAATTAAAATAATTATCTTTAGTTTATTGTTATTAGGAATAAGGATAGTATTGTTATTGTTATTTTTATTATTATTTTCAAGCATTAAGGCATATTACAACAAGAACTCCGTCACCCTATATAAAGGAGACTCCTCCCACCATTGAAAACATATCTTTTCTTGAATACAATACATTGAGAGTTTTTCTTTGCAAGTGTTGATTACTTGTGGGTGGGAACAATAGCCACTAAAAAATTTAAATTATTATATATTTTA